AACCTTTGACGGCCTGTGTGTTTGTCTTGTTCTAAATGCAAGGGCAAATACAGACATATAACATACTGTTAATGCTTTAAAAAGCTTACTATATAGATGGTAAGACACAAGATATGTGCCCAGACATCTGTCCTGAAAGAAAATATGAGTATCTTAATGGAGGGCTGGCAGTATTAAAGAATGTGGGTGGGGCTTACAGGACTCCTATTCTTGCTAATATTCCACACTGTCTCCAATGCCCTCAAGGAGTTCCTGGTGGTTTCTTAGAACTAGGTAAGTATTTATATTGGAGATGGCATGTGGAAATGAAGCTGTACTGGAAGAAAGGCTTTATCAGTAGAGGTGGCATTTGCATTGATCCTTTTTTCTCTTAGGTACTGATAAAAGTATGAAGGCTGCTGTTTGAGGTGTACTACTGAACTACGGCTGGTTGTGAGATCCAGCTACTGAGTTCCATTAGTGACTGAAAATGGTGGGAAGCCAGTAGGAAGAACAAGTCACGTGGAAGTTTAGTCTTGGGCTGTCTAAAGTTGAGCTATCATTGCAGTCCCCTTAGGAAGATGGTCCCTCCCAGAGTCCGTGGTCTGTCTGTCCCTGTCTCTGGGCCTCATCATAGTCTGCCATGTGCTACTTACTACCAAGTGAATGTTACTACTTGGAGGGGCACTGTAGAACTGAGGCATTTTTATATATTGATCCAACAAATACTAGATAGAAAGATGATTTAATTAGCCTATGAACTGCCTGTCTCCACAGAATGCAGGTCTCATATGATATAATGTACATTGTAGGATAGCAAACAATTCTGTGAACTGAAAGACTATACTATAACTTCCAGATGATAGAACTTCCAGATGAAGTTCAGTTTCCTACTGCTCATGTAGCTGCTGTAGGGATTTAGGGACAGCAGACAAAACCTGCTCATCAGTTATCACCATGTGAGGAATGCAGGAAAGGCCAGAATCACATCAAAACACCTTCCACTTCTGCTAACCTCAAACTATCCAGAGGGTTCAACATTTTCCTGGGACTTGGTCTTAGCCTTCAAGAAAGCTGAAGCTAGGGGAAAAGATTGTTCAGAATTTAAAGGGAAAACTCTTTGAAGAGGCTTCAGTAGGCATGGAATAGTGCTGACTGCATTTTAAGATGCTTTTCACTATTGAAAGAAATTATCCATTATCCTGAAGTGTGCACTTGACTGAGTCTGTACTTACAGAAACATCTGGAGAATTTTAAAATGTCTTTTTCTTTAAAAAAAGAGAACAGAGGAAGGTCAGTGAAATAGTGTGACACATAAATGCACTTTTAGGATTTAGATAGAAAATGCCAAAGAAAGGTTCGCATATGGTTAAGTCACGCTGTCTTCTAAGCTCTTACAATTATCAGATAAAACAACACATCTAGGAACAGGGTCTGAGAAGAATATTATCTTTACAATCTAGCTGCAATGCCTAACCTACAATTTGCTACTCTCTATAAACAGAAACCTCAAAAACAGGTTCCAAACTAGGTAAGAAGAAATGACCCAGGAATGAATTAATTAAATAGGAGACTTGAAATAAACAAAGGAAAAATTATCCTATCAAAATAAAACATAAAAACACGATTAGATTAAGCTTCAAAAGACCCATGAGAAACTCATAAAAGGCATAATATGCACTTACCTGGTTTTTATTCTTCCATGATTTAATTTCTAATGTTATTCACTACCATCTGATAATTGCGTGAAATACTTATTCTAACCACGGGCAATTTAAACTATTTTAATTTTTATTTCAAGGCCATGAGACAAAGGAACCTATTTATGGCCTCAGGGGATTTTTTTAAACAAAAATTAAAGCTAAATTGCTCATGGTTCAAAGCCAAGACTATTTAAAATCATTTATAATAATGCTGTAGGGAGACTTTTTCTGGGTATGCAAAATTGAAAAGATAAATTTACAATTACTAAAAAAATTAATAGTTTGGGGAGTTAAACTGCCCCTTTCCTTTCTAGATGAATTTGTCTGAACTTGGAGACATTTAAAAATGTAGCAAATGCAGGGCATGTATAGAAGTGAGGGGGTGGGTCTTCCATTCACTTTCATACAATGGCTGGATGTGTACATGGTGCAAAAAGCCAGCCAACCCACTATCTATTTAAAAAATAAATAAATAATGGTATTGGCTTTGGGGATATCTTCCTTTTACCACACAGGAAATCGCCTGGATAAGGGGGAGAGTCTTGAACTCTACTCACACATTTTCTGTGAATTTATAAAAGTCCTTGATGGAAATCACACAAATACATTTACTTTCACTTGAATCCCTAAGTTTTTAAAGTTACTCTTAGCAAAAGTAATTGAAATGTGGATTCACACCATTTTTACCGTATGTTTCAGGGTTCTAATAAAATACTTTCAGGTATTATTCAAACATTCCTCAACAGAGAAGAGAAAAGTCACATTCAGTGCTGCCTCGGGTGGCAGTAGACACAGAGGGAACAAGCTGGGTTCCTAGGACACCTCCCCCTTAGGAGTACGGGAGATGCTTTGCTGTGGTCATTTGTGACTAGAGCGAGAGGAAGGAAAAGAAATCTACAAACCCATTTTCTCTTTCATTGTGGCCACAGAAATAATTGGGATGGGCAAGTATGTTTAAAATTCCTCCTGACAAATGCTCAGACCATCAACCTGTGTTGTGCATCCCACATTTTAAGAAGATTATAACCAATTTGTGATCTTTGGTATTATTGTTTAAACATGAAATCCCCTGTTGTCCAAACTTATGTGTTGAATGCCTGGTCCGTAGGTGGTGCTATTCTGGGAGTTGTTGGAGACTTTAGTAAGTAGGGTCCATCTGGAGGAAACAGGTCACTGGGGGTAACTGGTAGGTTTATCCTTGAAATCTACATTTTGATCTACCCCCTTTCTGTATTCCATTTTTCACTTACTGTCTGCCATGAGTTTAACAGCCTCCCATCATCACATGTTCCTGTCAACATGATATTCTACTTCACCACTGAGTCAAGTGAGTATGGACTGAACCCTCTGATACAGTGAGCAAACATCCTTCATCTCCTCAGGTTGTTTATGTCAGGCATTCTGTCACAGTGACAAAAATGCTGACTAATACAAATGGCTGTGAATCTAATGACCACAATCTTCTCCCTTTCCTTCCCTTTGCTCAGCACCAAGACTTCCTTTCTAGTTTACTCTCAAGGTCTCTCCTGCTCCTCTGTCTTTACAATGCTCTGTCTTCTAAAGGCTCTACATGGTTTTCTTCACTCAATTCAGGCTTCTGCTCAAATGCTACCTTTTAAGAGAGGGATTACTTCCTTTGATTCCTTCATCCTATCTCTGTTATTCTGTTTGCTCTTATAACAGCCTTGGCTACCATGTCTGTATCTTACATTTATATACTGCTTGTCCAGGATGCCTGGAGAGACTAAAAGACTTATGAGTGAAGGTAGTACATGTGTGTCTGGTTCACTGTCATTTTCCTAACAGCAGGACAATGTCGAATATTGAAGAAAGCATGTAATACATATGAGACATAACTGATCAGTTATGTCTGCTTTTGCACTTGGCTTCTTAAACTGCCAAGTCTCTGACTAGAAATAAAGTAAAATGTATGTATAATACATTTTTAAAATGTGATTATTTTAGTTTTTATAGGGGAAAATATTAATACATGGTAATTTCACTTATAAAACAGATAAAGTACAGGAACCAAATCTTAATGGTTTTAAGAAAAATCACTTATTTCTTAAAAGGGGCAATTGAATATATTAAAGATGTTTAGTTTTCAAAAGGGGTCATTGAAGGATTGCTTTACCTAAGTTTGTGAATCATATTATATAATATATGTATATATATACATAAAACTTAATTTCTTGAAAAAGATTACTTAAGTTGATTTTCGAGGAGTTCAATGTATCCTATGAAAATGAAGCCTATTATAGTAGTAATATGTTTTCAAAACATTTTAAGAAATAGGGTCACTATACCCCTAAGCATTATTACCAAGAGATTTCAGCATATTAAGATAAATTCACCAGATTCTCCTAAATATCTTTAGGTTTCTCCCTCAAAATCATACTCCTGATAAAATGTCTTATGTTCACAAATTTTTATAAAGATATAAGATTTAGTGCTTTGAGTGTTATATGCTCCTGTCTCCACACTCCTTCAAGTCAAAAGCCTTGAGAAAGCTAGGTCTATTGCAGGCTGTAGCTTTGATTTAATCGTTTTCTGAGAAAACCCTAAACAATTATTTTGCTAACACTTAGCTAATTATTTGTGTACACTTAGAGAGTGTCAGAAGAAGCTGTCCCGGCCAACTTCTTCATATAACAGAAAAGGTGGTGAGATCATCTACTCAAGTCTAGAAAATTCAGAGTGAAAGAAAGCCAGTAAAACATTCTAACTTTTCATTTTTTAAAAGAAAACAAATTATAGTATCTAGGTAACTAACCACATATTTACCATGTATGAAAAGAAAAATGTCATATGCTTTTGAATAAGGCAACAACATTTCTGAGGAAAAGACCTCATTACATAGTTTAGAATCAGATCATAGTGAAAACAAAGATGTGTCTTGCTAGGTTAGGGATTTAAAAATCAAATATGAAGAGATGAACTGATATAAAATCCAACGTTTGGATGATTATGAATTTTGATATTTAATGAAGAATTCTTAAATTCTATCATTTTCTTAAATTCTTAAATTCCTGAAGACAGGACAAAAAAAAACAGGACTAAGCAACTAAAGCGCCTCACAGTACAAATAGACAAGATAAGCCTTTCTGAAAGTAAAACAGATATGGGAAAATCACAATAATGATGGATTCTCTCACTGAGAACATTTCTCATTTTGACCTTGGAAGATAACACACATTAGATCTTGTTCCACTCATCCTAGACTTATCAGTCCCCACCCTTTACCCATGGTGTGGTATGTACAGACTCAAGCACACAGTGCTTTTGATCACACACAGGGAAAAGCAAGCCTCTACTTACCGGGACTTGTGAGGGCACCCAGAGCGCTGCTTGTGGTAGAGAGAGGGTTTGCATTGGTGCTGGTGGCTGAGGTCTGGGCAGCTGCTGCGGCAGCAGCCAGTGTCGCCAGATTCTGTAACTGTAAAGCATTCATGCCTGTGGTGGAAAGAAAAAAGTGACATTAGCAAGATACTTGACTTTCCTAGTTCACGGACTAAGTAGGCCCACAAAGCCATGGGGATCCCCGCATTTGTGCCAGTGCTTTCATGATGTACAGAGCTGCCCTAGACTTGTGAGGTGAGCCCATCTGCATGGGAGGCTGGGCCTGCAGTCTCTCCTCCAAGAATACCTTCTTCAGGTCCTTAAGATTCCATCTTCTTGAGACTGGGCACTCAGAACGGCATTCCATACATCCAGTGCTCCTCATCAGTCAGCTCCCAGCCTGTCCTAGCTCAGTATCCCCTTCCTGCTGTTTCTTCTCCATGTTGTAGTGCCAACTAGGAAAGTCTAGTGGTCATTGTGTACTGACTGGTCACAGTAGGGCTTTGTGGACTGGCAGCTTCTGTGACTTAGCTGTCAGGAAATGGTGAGATTTGGGCTTAGATGGCTGCAGGAAAAGCTTCAGGGCAAACTCCCAACTCCTACACTGTACAGGTGCATGTATAAGACTTCAGAGGAAATTATAATTCATCAGTTAAATGCTACTTTCAACTTGAACTGATACAGGTTCTAATCCTGCCTCTGTCACTTTTCTGGCTGCTGGAATCCAGGCAAATTACTCAGTCCTTTCCCTTTCCCCTTCCTTTCCTTGTTCTGGGGCTTTAACTCAGGTTTGGGTACTTTCCTGGAGCTTTTCTGCTAGCACTCTACCATTTGAGCCATAGCTTCACTTCCAGCTTTTTGAGAATTGGAGATAAGGGCCTCATAGACTTTCCTGTCCAGGCTGGCTTTGTACTGCAGCCCTCAGGATTACAGGTGTGAGCCACTAGCACTCAGCTTCTCATTTTGTGATTAGTGAGTGTACCTGACCTCACAGGGTTGTTGTGCAGATAAATAAGATGAAAAATGAAAATTACTCTGACACAATGTAAGTCCTAAGTAATTATTAGCTATTATTTTTGTTATTGTTGTTGCCATTGCACTTCTCTATCCAGATTTATTTTAAAGGGGAACTCTAACATGTGTCCACAGTAGGAACTCAGTATGTGCATTGAAATGACAGTGCCTTAATAGAGCTTCATTTGTAAAAAGAGCTGTATTCACGTGTTACAGATATTCATCTTTTAAAATGGGACTGTCTTAAATAGAATGGATTTCTGATTAGTAAAAAGAAAGGAAAGGAGAAAAAATTTGCAAGAAAGCAAGAGTGGGATCTGATAAGATATGAAGCCAGCAGTTAACGTTAGACTCATGCCTGGTGTCTGTGGTATCTGTATTTCCAACATCTTTTCTCTTCCCCCTCTATTTCTCAACCCACAGGTTCTCAATGGAGGATCCCCCCCCCATGATTCACTTTGTAGTAAGAGAATACAAAAGTACTTTTCTCCTTATATAGAAAGAGTTAAGTAACCAGCTTAATTTTGCCTTTTCATGCCTTAAATCCAGATGCTTACTAAATGTCTACTGAACAAATTTAATCTGCTTTAGGCAGAATGGCCTGATAACTGCTTTCATATGTGTTGGGAAGGAAGATGGAGGGGACAGGTAATATACCTGAGTAAACCCCCAGCCGCTGGCATTGACTATGGTCTGAGCTCTATAGGAAAGCAAGGCTGCTGAGCAGCAGTGCTGTCACTGGCGTCTCTGTCCTGGTCTCTGACCAGAGTGTATTTTTACTTAGAAAAAAGCTCCTGATGGTTTGGCTGAACAATACATTTTCATTTTGTCTGAAAATGATACTCTTATCTGCTTCCAGGGGACATCCAGACCCATTGGCTTAGAGTGAAAGCTAAATACCTATTCACTTTTTAGGTAGAGATGTCTTAGAAGCAGGACACAAGTATTTGTAAAATCTTGGAAATTTCTGAAAGAAAAATCCACCTTTCTTGCAACCCTTCTTTATCAAGCAAATGCAAATGTAAACAGATCTCTCTTGATGTCTTGGATCAAGGGTCAAATGGTATCAAATGGAATGCGGGTGTTAAGAACCATTGGTCTTTTAAGTGTTACGTTAGCAAAGAGGGAATGGAGTAAACACAGGAACTGCTGGATTTTAGTGCAGGTCCACTTAAATGCAGTAAAGGACTCTACTTCCTAAAAGGAACAAGAATCCACTTCATGCGTGAGTGTGACAAGAGCATCCTGGCTAAGTGATCCTGCAAGGAATGAGGCACATTTGTACTGATCCGTCTGTCCCCTCTGATGTTTTAATGATGTAAACCAGATGATCAGATAAATCACCAAGAAAAGAACAGGGTTTATGCACTGATATTAAATCCTATGCTATGCACCTGACAGAACCATTACTCTAGCTCAGACCAGCAGGTCCTCCTCTAGAACAACTATGCCCCCCAAGTGTTATTGTAGTATTAGAGCCATGGAGCCAAGAACTCAGGTTCTTGGCCAAAGCTTTGTAGCAGAGTCTCCTGAGCCTAGGGTAAAGGCCTCCTCCCCCAATTCACTGTCTCTCCCTGAAGATGGCTCCGTTTCTACTTAATGTGCACTTTCTATGTGGTTATCTACAAACTCACTTTTCTGTGATTCTCTCTTCAAAGTCCACTTAAACACTACGTATATGTATTTCTTACCATCACAACCAAATACTAATTGAGTTCCTAGAGGATAAAAGTTTTTAATCCCTTTTTTTTTGGGTGCAGGTCCTGGGGCATGAACTTAGGACTTGGGTGCTGTCCCTGAGCTTTTGTCCTCAAGTTTAGCACTCTACCACTTAAGACACAGTGCCACTTCTGGCTTTTGTGGCAGTAAGAATCTCAGACTTTCCTGACTAGTCTGGCTTTGAACTACGATTCTCAGCCTCCTGATTAACTAGGATTACAAGTGAGCCACAGGTGATTAGCTAGGATTACAGGTGAGCCACTGATACCAGCTCATCTTATTTATAAGTCCACATAAACACTTAAGCACACACACATATTTACTGCTTAATATATGTTAATTGGTGGACAAATTTCTTCAAGATGTATGGACAGGTAATGATAACAAATATTGAAGAAATGCTATGAAGAGTATAGTCGTCTATAAAGCCAATCAAAGTTTCAGTTTTCTCCATTCTTTTTTGTTTTGTACTTATGTCAGCACCAAATATTGACTGCTTTCCCTCAATAATAAGCAAATGTACTGCATAATTTCTTCTCAGATCATATTTATTCATCATCTTACCCACTGACATTCATTAAAGTCCTGGAGCCAAGCCAACAACAATGAGGTTCTCTTCCCCACTGCCTTGTTCCCTTAAGAATTCAGGATTAAGGGTGTGTGTTCCTTGTCGATGGCTCTCCATATCTGTCCTATATGCACACCACCATCTTAGAGAGTTTAACAGCCTCTTTAACCTTTCCTTGTTGTTACCTAGAAAGGCCATGTAGAGTGACCGAGGCTCTGAGGCATCACTGCAGAGGATGGATAACACTGCCCAATAATACACAATGGAAGGACAAGGTATGAACCCAAGAAGCTGAGATAAAAATAGTGGAAATAAGAGGCCTGCTAGCAAAAAGGGAAGAGAAGAGTGGGAACCAGTCAGACAGAGGAGCTGCACTTGCCTGCCCAACTATTTTTCTGTCAATCCATCAGTCTGTATGTGTCAGATCTATGCAAGGTGCTGAGGGTAAGTAGGAAATGAGACAGTGCCTGTGCTCAGGAGGCTGCTGGATCTGGCAGCAGGGGAAGCCAGTAACTGGAAGGTTCCTACTAGCACACTGGATTCTGGAAATAGACTCAAACTTAGAGCCACATTCTCATGAAAGCCCCTGCGTTGATGGAGAGATGAAGAAGCACAGAAATGCACTAGTAAGCTGAGGAGTGGAGCATTAGTGTCTGCCTCTTCTTGCTTGTCTGTCATGGTACCTATGTGTCAATCCATCAAGCTTTCATGCCTTTGATGCCCTCTTCTACAAAGTGTCTCAGTTTGACCCTACATTTTTGCCTTTCTCAATGCAATCTGGGGAGGGACATCCCATTCTTTACCGTATAATGTATCCTTAGGGCTTGGAATGGTCAGCATTCTCTGCTGGTAACAAAAATGATTAATGCCATTTAACATAGTATGGCCTGGTGAAGAAGTGTGTAGGCCTTGGGTTCAAATAAACCTAGCTTTGTCCCATTTACTCCAGCCTCAACCATCTGGAGTAAACTGGCCTGTGCTAGGTTCTCAACTGTAAAATGGGATTATAAGTGTATGTCTTCTGATTGTCAAAGTATGTAAAGTTCAAAGAACAATGCCCTGCGCAGTTAGGCTCAGAGTGTAAACACTCAGCTAGACTCCATGTTGCTTCAGTGAGGATGAAGTGTGTGCCAGGTATGCTTCTCAGTGCTTTACCATGTGCTCTCTCTGGGTTTATAACACACCTACCTCTGTAGGCACTCTGTTGTCCAGCTCACGGCAAAAGGAAACCAGTGTGCAAAAGTCAAGGCACTGTTACCCACTCTCCAAGGAGCAGTCCTGAGTCAACAAGAGGGAGGTCCAACTTTCTTTTTAGTGTATCTGTCCTCTCCTTGTCAACATGGCTTTTTTATAGTGTTCCTTCTGTTCTCTTGCTCCCAATTTGGGGCTCTCCTGCCCTCTTCTTGTTTTTTGACCTCCATTACTTGGTATTTTTAAACAACTTTAGGAGGGTTCGGGAGGACAAAGAGAAGAGTGATGATACAGCATGGGGTTTCAAAAGGAAATATAGGTGAAGCACCAAAATAATCCTTGACCTGCTCTTCCCCTCACTTTAAGTGGTCTTGTTAACACATTATGTATGAATTGTTAGGAATGGCAAGCCTGGTAGACAGAGCTTTATAACAATGCCCATTCAGTTTGTGGTACCTGAAATTTAGGTACTAAATTTATGATCTTGTCTTGACTGGTAGTTAAGAACTGAGTTAATCAGTACTCATGCTCTAATTAAGTACTACACTAAGTAACTAACTACTTGATAACTTGTACGGTACTTGTATCTGCTTTCTAAATCTCTCTAAATGTGATTTCCTTA